CAAGATGAGTAAGCACAAGTGTTCTACCTGTACAGATATGCATCACATAGTCCTTGCTCGGCAATAGCAGCTTTCAACCGCTCTCGTTCAATGACAAAGTCCACAATTGAATCGAGGTTTTCTTCCGTCGTATACGGAGCTATCTCATGCTCTTGAGCATGTGTGCGGCGTATGACAAACATCTGCTGAAAAAAGTGTTCAAAAACTAATATAAGAATGCGCAGAAAGAAAAGGAGAGAGAAAGACTGTAACAGACTTCGTGTCGTCATGGAAGTTGGTATTTTTGCGACGTAACCAGGAAAAGCGCGAATTTGGGCGAAAGCCATCACCCATGGCTCCAACAGTTGGACTGACTAGCTAAACAGTACAAGCTGTTCGACAGAAGTTAGTGAAAGAAATAATGAAATTCTAAGATCAAGCACACCTTCTGTCCGCTAGAACTCAAATTAGCGACATGTGGTGAATTCGAGTCGATTGCATAACGTTCTTCAACGACGAGACACCCGAAATAAGACAAGGGTTTGCGTCATGGGTGGAAAAAAATAAGGTAAATTGTTTACCAATTAGCATAGCTGCTGTCCGCTTCCCGACAGAATAGCGGAAAGCGAGGTAATTTTTCGAGGTATGCGATTTTAGCAGTTAACAAGAAGATCTGAGCTATACACTATGTTTAATCTTGCATGTGAAAGATAAGAACTTTAGATAAGCATGAATAGATGGCCTACCCTATCTGTACTAGTATACCTAGAAAGATCGTTTGACGAGTTTTCTATGAAGAAAAAGATCTCAGCTAACATTTTCTCACGAAATTTTAAGTAGTTCTGTAGCAACATTGATGACATTGCTAAATATAGTTGGTAATAATAATCCCGATGCTCCAAGACCTACCGGCGGAACCAGTGCACAATCGAACAACCTGACCGAACAAAAGCGAGAGCCGAGAGCATAGGCTGACAGCCATATGTTCTAACTCAACCCATGGATTTGTAGTCGCTTCAAATC